GGGGACAGTGCTCTAGTGACGCCCTGCTGACGGGCTTTCCTAGGGACCCGCCCTTCACCTCCTCCTGCCGGGGTGTGGGGGCGGGATCCCTACTTTATAGATAAAGACTCGGACCAGAGAATGGGGCCCCCCTGGGAGTGCACACGGCCCTGCCAGGATTTGAACCCTGGACTTTCTGATTCTGAGTCTCCTGCTTTCTGAGAAGTCCTTTGGGTTTCCTGGACATCTAGGCGGGTTCCAACTCCTCTCTTCTCTTTTCCAGACGACTGAACCGGAACCAGCTGCACGTGTTACCCGAACTGCTGTTCCAGAATAACCAGGCCCTGTCGAGACTGTGAGTGATGCTCTGTGGTAGGACGTCCTCCCCGCGGTCTCCATGGAGGGCAGCGTTCGGTCCTTCCTCCCGGCGGGACGCTCTCCCCATCGTCTCCGTGGAGGGCAGTGTTCGGTCCTTTCTCCCTGCGGTCTCCGTGGAGGGCAGCGTTCGGTCCTTCCTCCCAGCGGGACACCCTCCCCGCGATCTCCGTGGAGGGCAGTGTTCGGTGACCGGATCCCCACCCCCCAACCTGGCAGGGCCAGGTCAGGGCATGAAGGCCTGGACCTTTCTCAGGTGCGCGGGGGCGCCTCCCCATGGCAGGCGCTTGGAAGAACCGGCCATGCGTGCAGGTCGGGGTGCTGCCCTGACCGCTGGGTGCAAGGGTGTGCTGCGGCAGGGCCGCCTGGGGACGCCAGCCTCTCGGGGCTGTCTCTGCACTTCCCTCACGGCCTTGACAACCCGACCCGCTGAGTCTTCCTTGAGCCTGGGTCTGTGTTCAGATCGCTCTGTCTTTCAGGGGAGTGTGGCCAGTAAGCGTACAGACCGGGGCGAAGGCGTACTCCTGTCTGTGTCGGTGTGCTCTTCCTCGCGTCCTGCTGCTCCGCCACTTGCCGGTGGTCTTGTTAGGTCACGCGTTTCGCTCATGGACTCGTGGCCGGGACTTCGCGGCCGCCTGAGGGGTCTCTTCTGTAGCTTTTAGTGTGTCGCCTTGCGGCCTTCGCTTAAATAACTCTAGTGATGGGGCGCTCACCACCCAGCGGGCCGTCTGTTTCAGGACAGAGTTGCATATTTGGAAATTTTCCTTAACTTTGAGTCCTGCATTTACCTTCTAATAACATGTTTTTCTTAACTTCACTTTCTGCACTCCAGCCATGGACTCTGAGATTTATTGGAAGGATTTTTGTCAGAAGGCATGTGCCCTTGTCAGAGACAGAGTGAGAAAGATGAGAGAGATAGGACCCCCCACCCCCACCCCATGGGGCCTGGTAATGCCACGATCCCTTCTCCGTCTCTCTTTCCTTTCGGGATTTTGCACACACACATACCCAGTGTGTTTTTCAAGCTGCCAAGTCTGGGACTTGAACTGCAGGGTCAACCATGTGGGATCCAGGTGCCTTAACCACCAGGCTGTGGGCTGGCCCCTGTGCAGTTTCTGAATTTTGAGTTGAGAGGGTTTTGAGGCCCCTTGTTTGTCATTAAGAACCTAAGAACCTTTGGCTGGGCCTTCTGGGTGCCCACAGGCACCGCGTGAGGCCTCGGGGTGCCGGTGTCTCCTTCGGGGTTCCTGACTCAGCAGCTCGGTGGAGACAGAGGCAGGACGTGAGGCAAGGGAGGCCGAGGGGCAGGGGCTGAGGGGCAACAGCGATTGGGGTGAGGGGCCACCTGAGGGCCGAGGGCCTGGCTGTGGGCTTCTGGGGTCCAGAGCGTGGCGCCTAGGCTCTGAGTGAACACGGGGCCTCCATCTCTGCTGCGAGTCCCAGCCCTCTCGCTGAGCCCCATGTTCCCCTGGCCTCTCCAGAACTTGTCACTGAGCCCACCTTCCAGCCTGTCTTTATGATGACTCTGCGTTCTCACTGGCCCAGCAATATGTCTGATCCCTTCCTGTCTCTTCTTCCTCCTGGCCGGGAGACCACTACCCAGCGGCCCTCAGGGATGGCCCCTTCTGCAGGCCTGCTACCACCCTCAGACTTGAGCCGGGCCTTCTGTTGGTTCAGGTGCACACAGTGGGTGTCTTATCTTCACTGGATGCTAACTGCACAGGTGCTTCCCACAGCGTGTCCACCACACCGGCTGAGCCCGCGTCCGTGCACTGGCCTGTGGACCGTGTGGTCACTGCACGTGCTGGCAGCTGACCCGGCCCTGACGTGGCCGCCCTGACGTGGCCGCCCTGATGTGGCCCCGCAGCTCCTGTTCTCCTCCCCAGCACCTCTCTGGGCCTGGGTGAAGGGGGACTGTTGTCTTCAGCTCTTCTGACACCTCTCGAGCTCGTCTGTGGGCGGGCGTGCAAGCCGGGAGGGCTCGGGAGCAAGCCGTGCAGTGTGCCTGCGGGCCAGCCCACGCTGGAGGCCAGCACATCCCGGTGCCCCTGTCGTTGAGGGGACCCCAAAAGAGGCACGTCCTGGGGAAAACTATTTTTATTTTTAAACTGCCAAGAGGGCATGTGCATCACCAGAGAGAGACAGAGTGGGGTGAAGGGACCCTCCAGTGGGATGTGATCGCACGGGACCACTTCTCCGTGTTGCCTTTATGTCAGACTTTGGGGTGCGTGCGCTCACACACACGCACACGCATGCGCCCGAGGTCTTCAAGCCGCTGGGGCTGGGATTCCAACCACCATCAGCCATGTGAGATCTGACTCCCTTAACCACGAAGCTGTGGGAGTGGGGAAATGAGGAAACAAACCTTTCTACCGATCTGGTCGTTTATCCTGGTGTCTGGGTTTCCCACTGCGGAAATGGCTGCAGAGAAGGCTGGAGGAGCAGGTGCTCTCTGCCTCACCCCTGCCTCGTCCCACTGAGCCGCACAGCTGGCCTTCCAGACCTTTCTGAGACCTCTCTGTCAGCTCCCCCACGGTCTGACCCAGGAGCACCTGGGCACACTTGGTTCCAGAATCAGCGATCCCTGTGGACTGGCGATGTCAAGCTGGAGGGCATCATGGTTTATTTTAGCTTTTTTTCCCCTTCCCCATAGGGCATGTGTGCTCTCCAGAGAGAGAGAAAGAGAGAGAGAGAGAGAAATCACCCTCCAGGGAGGATGGCCATGCTGCAGTTCCTTCTCCTCCATCCTCCTCTTGGGACTTTTTAGACACACACGCACACGTGACCGGCATGAAATTTAAGCTGCCAGGCCCGGGACATGAACCATGCAGTTAGCCATGTCGGGCACAGTCACCTTAACCCCTTCCCGCCTGCTGGCCCGGGGTTGGGAATAGTAGGGGCAGGCTCCTGGGCTCTCTGCAGGAGGAGCTGAGGGGCAGCTGGCCTCCTGGATCTGGACTGGACTGTGAGGGGCGTCGGGTTCTTCCCCAATGTCTGCCATAGCCAGGCTGCTGGCGTCTCAGCCCCCCCCGCCCCCGCCATGACTCGGCTCAGCCGGGCTGCTGTCTGCCCCCCCTTCCCCTCCCCCGCCACCTGTGGCCTGGAAACTCAGATCCCCGCGGTGTCTGGGTCCCAACTCCAGATTCCTGGGACGAAGCGTGTGACTGGGCCACCCAGGGTGGGAGGACGCCCTGGGCCGGCGGGTGTGTGGGAACTGGTGCTGTCCCTCTGTGGAGCTCAGCTGTCCCCTTGGACGGTGGGGACACGGGGAGGCAGTGCCTGGCATTTCTAGCTCTTCTCTGTTGACCTTCCCTCTGCGTCGGAGGGATCCGTTGTGAATCCTTTCCATCTGGAGCGAATGATGGCCTTCCCTACAGAGGCCGTTCTGCTAAATCAGCATGAAAGTGGGTCTGAGGGGACCAGACGTGCTGGGAGAGGTGTGGCCCCCAGCCAGCCGGGTCTGCGCAGCTCCTAGGGCTCAGTGCCGGCTGTTGGTTAGCGCTCACTCAGACGCCCTGGCGTCGGATCAGTCCGTCCACTCCTTTCCCTGGGCAGGGTCTATAGTCAGAGGTAGGGTTCGCCTTGGCCCACAGAGCAGCTGGGCTGGAATCAGACACCCTCCACGGGTCCCTAAGGGGTCTGAGAGTGGGCTTGGACCTTACCTTCGAATCTCAGTTTGGGGATCTGTCCTAAGGAGTAATAACACAGGAGGACAGACATGGCAACATTACTCAGAACTCTGAAATGCAGAGCAGTCACCAGACATGGAGAGGGCCTGAACGCCTCACACTGGGGGGCGTCTGCGCAAAGCCGCGTTCACACAGTCATCACAAACGGCCTTCGAGAGACGGCGAGTGACGTAGAGAAACGTGTGTGACATCGACAGCCATCGCTAAAAATCGCTCTTAAAGATGCGAGGGGAAATGACCGCAAGGCACCAGGGGAACTTTCTGGGGGGCTTCTGTCTTCTCTGTGCTTCCTGGACGTGCCCTCGGAAGCGTGTCTATGTTCGTGGTAGGCACTTCCCGGTGGTCACAAGGAAGGGGCGCCTTCGTGGTCCGGGTGGGGCAGTGCCGGGTACGTGATGTGGCAGGACCTTCGCCCCGCCGGCCCCCCTGTGCTCTTCTACGAGACAACGATCCCGACGTCACCTTGCGGGGCTGCTGTGAGGCCTGAAGGGAGGTGTGGGTGTGCGGCCACACGTGGAGGGTGCTCCGGAGTCGGCGGCGAGGCCATGGGGGCTCTGCTATGGGGGTCACCCCGCTCCCCAGGCGGCAGCGTGTCAGCGTCAGTGTCGGTTCCCTGCTCCCTGGGCCAAGTCATCCTCTCCACGGCTTATACTTAAAATTTTTAGTTTTAGATTTGCTATCAGACTCGTGTGTACTGGAGGGAGACAGGGATGCAGAGAGAGAGAGAAGGAACGCAAGAAACCACTCCTCAGGGGTCATAGCCACACTGCCATTCCTTCTCTTGGGAGTTGGGGCACTCCTGCCTGGCCTGATTTTCAAACCCCTGGGTCTGGAACTCGAACCGCGTAGCTGAGTGCATGGGAACCAGCTGCCTTTAGCCTCCACACCACTTGGAGGTGCCCCCACACTGCCAGCCTCACACTTTAAAAAAACAAAATTAAATTGCCAGAGGGTGTTTGCTCAAGAGAGAGAAAGAACAAGAGAGAGAAATAACCAGTGAGGCGTGGTCACGCTGCAATCCCTTTTCCATTTCTCCATCTCATCATGATGTTGGGCGCGCGTGCACACACGCGCACGCGCACACACACACACACACGCCAGGCCTACACCCGGTGTGTTTTTGCTCTGCCAGGACCAGGACTTGAACCTCCGCCAGCCGTGTGGGATCCAGGTCCCTCTCACAGGCCTTAACCACTGAATACCTTCCCTGTGCTGTTGTCTGCGGGCCCACTCCCCGTTCACGTGTGGGAACTGCTTGTAGTGTGGCAGCACTCAGAGCAGACAGCTGCGT